ATGTTCATTTAAAAGAAAATTTAATCTTCACAAGGCCGGGTCAAGACTGCTTAATTTTATACAATATAGTTATTAATTATGCCATTAAACTCATCAATGAAGAAAATGTGGTGATAAGTAAGAGGAGAGAGAATGAAGAGATTTTTGTGATTTTGAACATTAGTATTTTGAGTTGTGACACCGTGTAGTCTAGTACATAGTTAGGAACGATTAGGAGGAACCAGTTGCGTCCATTTTAGGGTACTCCACCTGGTTTCACATTCCAGAAGACAGTAAGAGGGTCAGGTTAGCTAATTCAGGTCAAGTTCTGTATTTTAAGTTATTTTAGGGTTAGTTGGGTTAGATAAGATATAGTTTATATTTAAGTTTAAATTATTCTAGAGAAATTTAATTTTTTTCAGGCTCCATGTTTTTAGCTACATTATAAATTTACTTGCAAATTCAATGTTGCATGCTTTGTTTGTTAGACCTTTATTAAATTTCATGATATTGTCACGTATATCTGGGAGAACGTGACTAATAATTGTGGATTGTAGATCTGATGGATCGATTTATTTGACGTCAATATTACAATTACACTCGGTTATAACAGTTCATACACTGAACTCCTTCTGAATACCGAATCTCTCTCTGCGTAGCTCTGCTTCGATCTTGGGAACGCGTTGGGTCACTGCCGAGTCACTTCTCCTTCCGCGTTCTGCCCTATTCTGGTCCTTCTATCAAAGTCAAAGTCACATTGCGACTGACCGTCAGTCAGTCAGTCAGTCAGTCAGTCAGTCAGTCAGTCAGTCAGTCAGTCAGTCAGTCTTGGTGTCGAGCCCCATCTGGTGCTCATGACCAGATATTTATTACTGTTTGACAATTACGGTCTTGTTTTCGTGGGGCGCCTCCTCTCTTTTATATCTGCTTGGGGTACCGAATAAGGGACACCGAGTCCAAAATTTCATTTCTTCCGTTGTCATGAAAACAACTCCGTTGTTGTGAGAACAAACGTTGACCTAGCTGTTGTCTGTTAAACGACATCTCCGTTGTGCAGGAAACGTCGGTGCACGTTGCTTAGGAAATGTCTGTTTAGAAGTCGCTATGAATTCACATGTAAATCATTACACTATTATACATTAAATTTTTGACAAATTAAAATATATTTTATGTCATATATTATTTTGACGTTCTCGAAACTTTATGGATCATCTAGTAGTTACTTTTGGCTGACGCGATAGGCCTTATTTGACAATAGGCTCTTCATTTTTGACGCTTTGAGGGGTACTTTGTAATTAAAAATTATTCATTGTACGGCCATTGACCATAATCACAGACGTCATATATATATAAAGCGTGTACAAATAATAATGCATGAATTGAGGAAATGAATCAGTGCTGTATCAGCTGCAGGTGCTATTTGGCGTGTCATGATATGAAAGGATGTTTGCATTCAGAGAAGTTGACAGGGTTGGGGAAGACATTTGGTATTTGATTACAGTATTTGAAGAAAATCACGAGAAGCCTTGGTCAAAATGGTCGATATTTCTGTACCACTGATATAACATAACCCTGTAATGATACCCTGCACTTTCATTCAGTTCAGGCTACAAGGCTAATGGATGTTGCAGAACATAATGCTTTTTTGTGTAGCGTGAACGTGAATGATTAACAAAGATGAATGGCTCTGGCGCAGTAAGCAGAAATTGTATCAAAAAGACCAATCACTAAAGTTTGTCCTTTAGAAATTGAACAAAATTTTAGCTCTTCATAATATGCATAGTTCCAATGTAAATCGTTGCTACGGTTTCATTTTATAAAAGAGAACAAACCACAAAAGTTAAATGCTTAATACTGTAACTGCTTGCGTGGAAGGTACAGGTACAGTCGCCCCTGTGATGACTGAATTATTTAAACAAGACCCTATGAAGAATGGTTGAGTCGAGGTATAGTTCCCTCATTCTTGATATCGGCAAGAGATAAAGGCGAATGGTCAAATTCAGCCTCCAGTCGCTTTATCCCGTAGGACAGAACCCCCGTGTACCCATTGGACAGGGGGGGCTGGGTGGGTTCTAGCGTCGGCCCAGACGCTGTGAAGTAGAGAAAAATCTTTTGCCCCTCTTGGGAATCGAGCCCTAGACGTCCAGAATGCAGCCAGTCATTATACCGACTGAGTTATATCGGCTACACTTGTAGTAGATTTTTTTTAAAAGACTTACAATCTCGTAGCTGATCAAGAAATTTCCTCTTATTTAAATCGATATTCCTTTTTTTTTCCGTGTTTAAAATTGCCAGTCAGCGGAACCTATGCTGTGCTGGGTGAATTCAGTCCGCACCGCCATATTTTATTCTTTAAGATCAATTTTAATATTTTCCCATGTTTCTTGGATCTCTTTATGTGTAAAAGTCTGCACATCGTGCCTGTCTCATCAGCCTTAGTTTGATCACCTTAGTAATATTTTTAACCAGCTTGAAATTTCAAGTATAAAACCATATATATAGAGGATTAAGTTAACATACCTGTTAACTCAGTCCCTATAGGTAAATGCTGGATTAGGACCTTTCCAATTTCTCACTAATTATCATCATAATTCTGAATGCCGGTGGTGCTTAGAAATGCCTTTAAAATCGCCCAAGATGCAGTAAATCGGTAGGGCAGTCAGTAACTGACGGGATTAATGTTCGACTACTATCAAAGTCAGGGACTTCCCTCTTCCCTCACCCTATACAGCTTCTGCAGCAAAGTTATACGTGCATAAATCGGTAATGCACACGAGTCAAGTTTAATATTAAAATCTAGAAGGTATGAGCTGAAGGTTTCTGACGGAAATGTATAATACTCAGAATTACTGGCTTTTGGGCTTTGTCTGTCGTCCGGTATTCAAGAAACTCACCTGAGAACTGAAACAGATTTAGTTTCCAAACGTTGTGTTTCGAAGTTTCTAGAATACCGGACGATGAACAAAGTCCGAAAGCTCAGTAATTCTGAGAAATCTAGGAAGTTTTGAGGCTATATTTATATCCCTCATAAACTTGGCGTGTTTAGACATAGCCAAAAGGCTTAATTCTTAAGTCATACCCTTCAATTAATATTTCCGGGCATAAAAGACAAAAAAAAAATAATAAACTGTACCTATTTTCCCTTTCAAATGTTAATGGAAGTACTTGGGATTCCTTTTAAGGACATGGTCTAGCCCAGTGTAAGATGCAGTGACGGGTTGTTTTGAAAAGGCGAGTCTGAGGATGCAGAATTTATTGATGAGTTGAATATAAACCGCTGAAAGGAAAGGTCGGCGCTACGGTGTTCGGATACTTGGTCAGTTACAAGTGGACAAGGGGATGCTATGAAATTACGATCATAGAGGCAAAAAAGGCTGCAGAGATAGAGACCGGAATGACCTAGATCATGACAGGGTCGAAAAGGACTTTTGTGAATATGGTAATGAGTTTCAGCTTTCAAAGAAAATACATTTTTAGACGAGCATCTTTCAAGTTGTCAAGTAACATCTCGCAGTATGGATTAAATTAATAGCACAGGTCAGCAAGGTCATAGTAACAGAAGAGAAAAGAGCTGCATATATTATTTCTGACACACTGTTTTGCAAATCAGGACCGAATAATTTTCCATCACGTCACACCCCTGTGCATTCAATTTCTGGTAAAAGTAGCACTTTCTAGTCGTCTTTTGTCACATTCTTTTAATTTTTTCAACCATAACGTGAGAAAATATTTCATTACTTACTTACTAATGGAGTTCAGCCCATCTTGAGGAGAAGCCAAATCTGCAACTACTCAAGAACTTTCCAGCATGTTATGGAAACCGAAGGTTCATTACCATGTTCACAAAATCTCTCCACTTGTCCCTATCCTGAGCCAGATCATTCCAATCCATACCATCCCAACCTACCTCTCTAAGATCCATTTTAATATTTCCCATCCACCTATGCCTTGGTCTTCACAGTGGCATCTTTCCTTCTGGCTTTCCAACCGATATCCTATATACATTCATCTTCTCCCCTTTTCCTGCTACATTCCCTGCCCCTCTCATACTCCTTGACTTGATCATTCTAATTATACTTGGAGAAGAGAACAAGTTATGAAGCTCCTCATTATGTAGTTTTCTCCAACCTCCTGTCACTTCATCTCTCTTCGGTCCAAATATTCTCCTCAACACTCTGTTTTCAAACACCCTCAGTCTATGTTCCTCACTTAACGTCAAAGACCAAAAATATGTCATTAGAAAAAAATATAACTTAAATATATTCATTATTTCCAAATGCTTGATTAGGGATAAATGCAATGTGTACTACAGATTCGTGACCGTTTCTGTCTATAATCAGGGTACTCGTTTCATATATGCTACAGAAAATTTATTTGCAGCCTATAATACTGTAACGTGTCTGGAATCCAGAGGAGTAACTTCTATGGAAACTCTAGTATAGACCGTTGCATAGGAAACAACAATTGCTCCATTGTAGTTCTAACAGGAGTCTCCATGGTTATAACAGAGGGTTCATTTGCCTAGCAGCGGCCAAGGTTATAAATAGCCCAGCTTCGACGAGAGGCAGTCAGTCTCGGATCAGCCCTCGGAGAAGAAAGTCGTGACCGAGCCTCCAGAGAAGAAAGTCTCGGATTAGCCAACTGGGAAGTCAGTCTTCATATATGCTACAGAAAATTTATTTGCAGCCTATAATACTGTAACGTGTCTGGAATCCAGAGGAGTAACTTCTATGGAAACTCTAGTATAGACCGTTGCATAGGAAACAACAATTGCTCCATTGTAGTTCTAACAGGAGTCTCCATGGTTATAACAGAGGGTTCATTTGCCTAGCAGCGGCCAAGGTTATAAATAGCCCAGCTTCGNTTAAATATATAATGGCTCTTTTAATTTCTAGATAACTTAAAAGATGACTCGAGAAGAGAAAATAAAATCGTACACGATGAGGAGAAATGCAATGATGAGGTAGGAAAGGAACTGAGTGCTCAGAATCTAGCTGTAATTCAGTGCGAATGAATCTTACCTGTCTCTCTAAACCAACTATTCATTGCTTTGGGAGAGGCCTCCACGTCACATCCGATATCCACATTGCTGCCGGCTGGTGCCGCTACCAGTTGATTAGAGACCTTAACCGACGGTTGGACTGTAACACCAGAGAGGCAAAATAATATCATATGTGCGCCTTGACTGACCCAGTAACTAATAATCTTCTGATTCACTAATTATCTGATTTCGCAACAGTGTTAGTAACTCAGCAGATTACCGAGTAATTAACTAATGAACTAAATTACTGAATAACTACCTGATCCAGTGATTGCCTCATTTAAGCGACAAAATGACATAATGACTCAGAAAATAAGTGACTGACTAGTTAGTAAACTAACCGAGGGTTTAATTAACTAGCTAATCAACGAGCCACCTTCTAGTGCAGAGGCCTCCTTGAACGTCACATTATTATGAGGGTGATTAAGAAATTCCTTGTGTTAAGAAACTTGAGAATTCACTGCTCTCATGACAATGGAACGGCGTTGCGCCAGTACCTAAGCACAATCCATTCAGAGACTTCATCATCATCATCATCATCATCATCATCATCATCATCATCATCCAGACGACAACAGCTTGATAGGTCACGTGTTTTTAAAGATTTTCAAGAGCAAAACAAATGTAACTCTATCATGGACACTGTTAGAAAATTTTCCATTTTTAGACCATGCAATAGGGCAAGGTCCAGTCCTGTGGCAAGGTGTGTCAATTCTACTAACAGCATGACATTTTTATACAGAATTTAAATGAAAGGTGCGGACAAAGTCCCACATACCGACACAAGAAAAAATGCCCACAAAACCTGTGACCGGAAAGTTTCATTGTGAGTAGGTATAGCTGATTGAGTACATTTACTGTAAGTGCTCGAAATGTCCTACATGAGACTCAATGCGTGCCTCGATAAGTCTCGTTATGGACTGCCGCATCCGTTCAAAGATGCCGGGGTTGTTGCGGGTATTCTGGCAGGCATCCACAATGCGATGGCGAGTCTCTCTTTCTTGTCAACAGGATCTGCATACACTTGGGGTCTGGGTAACCTATAGGACCTCGTCGACTTATCTAACGGCTATGAGTGTGTCTTCCCGCCGTATAATCCCTGTTACCTTGTTATAATTACTTTTCACATATAATATATATTATATTTCTTGTTTATTTATTTCTGTTATATACTTTTTAATGTTTTCATATTCCAGCCTACAATTGTCCAAAGATACTAAAAAAGGGAAAGGAAGTACTGCTGTTTATTACGAATTTTAAGTCGGATAAAAATATATAGCAAAGTAGCAAAGTTTATACAAAAATATTTCATTCGTTCCTTCTAATTTTATGATTTGTCGGATATAATCTTGAGACTGTCAGGAGATACTTTTCGCTGTGCCTATAGTACTGTATTTGTTCAGGCTTTGTAATTGACTAATAGACAAGTGAATCATCAGATAATGCACTTAAATTAATAATATTAGCACCATTATCATTATTATCATCCAATTTGCTTTTCGAAAGAATCCAGATAAATATACGGACATAAGTAAACAATAATTTTGCCTTTTCTTTTTTCACAACCGTGATCCACTGTCTGGTATTAAGTTGGATATAATTAAATTACGAGTAACCGGAAACAAAGTGCGTAGGAAAGTATTTTGGCCTAATTGGAATAAAGTCACCAGTAATAATTCAGAATATTATATATATAACAAGGAGTATGCGATTTATACAAATCATTTTTGTGTAGACTGGGCAAATGTTTCGGATGAGGACAATAAATGAATTTATTAATCTATATATTAACTAATTTCAAGACACAATAAAGATCCTTATTTGAAGAATTAGATAAAATAATTAACAATTCAATAGCTGAAGCTTGAGCATTGTACGCCTGATGATGGCCCGGTATGAGGTTCGAAACGTGTTGCTTTTGTAAAAACAAAATAAAAATGTAAACAAATGTTGATGCAGTAATGTCTTCTTTGTTTTTAATTGCAGAATATTGTTGTGTAGACTGCTTACCTTATATACCTTTACGTACCTTACAATAAATGAAATAATAATTTTGTGGGGAAATCTTTAGAAAAGCGGCCACTTAAAAGACCGAGAAGAGAACAGAGCATTAGCATTAAGACGAATATGACGTAAATACGCTCTGAATATGAGAAATGTACGGAATTGACTCAGAAGATTTCTCAGTAATGAAGTCTAGCCTTCGGGTTCTCTTGCAATTGACGTATAGGAATTTCGGCCTCATTATTAAACTCTCTCAAATAGCGTAACGAAAGATTTTATATATTCTGAGATATTAAATTAAAATATAATAAGTTTAAAGTGAATCCATTTACCTCTTTATTATCTTTACAAATATACGGATGTCACGCAGTATTCAAAGGACGTGAAATGCAGATTTTGTATTCATATTCTCGCTCTTACAAGTCAGTTCGAGCTGGACTCGTACCTGTTTATAGAAAGCCTTCCTGCGCTTTATCGAAAAATAATTCTTATACTATTAACATATTTAAATGTCAAATTTTTATTCTCATTCTTTCAAGTCAAATTGTTTAACGTCATCTCTCCATACGCTTCTGTCTCTTTCTCATCTGAAACATAAAATAAACAACATCTTTATTAACTGTCACAACACAACAAATATCAAGGTCAGTGCCTAGCTACGGCTCTGCTACATGTTTCGGCTATCAATAACCATCATCAGGCAAATACATGGTTAAACATATATACACCACTGAACTGCAGTGCTATTAAACTGGATACAATACTATTAATCCTATAAAACACTTGACGTAAAAATACAAATTATCAGATTATGTAAAACAGAAGTTATATTGTAAAACAATAAAATTTTAATTGATGTTTTATAACATCGAATCAGTCGTTGGTTTTGTAATTTCGTACGTTCCCATGGACAAATTGGAATATTCTATATTTTTTCTTTTTGTATATACGATTGTGTAGGAGGCTCGTGATGTAGATGCAGTAAATTAATGTTAATTGTTTAGTCGGTCCCTCATCTTACAAAGTATTGTCTGTTCTGTAGGGAATGTAAACATGTAGCAGAGCCGTAGCTGGGCATTGACCTTGATATTTGTTGTGTTGTGACGGTTAATAAAGAGCTTGTATGTTGTAACACAACGGGATGCATGAAATGAAAATTAAATAAACAGGCACAAGTTGGCCACTGATATAGCGGAATACTTCATTCACAACATGGAAATGGACAGTAATTCTCTGATCTCTCGAAACCATATCAATGCCAAACAGTAGCACTACAGGATTAGTTTAAAATATTATATGGAAGGTTTTATTGATTCGTTTAAAATTATTTACTTGCATTTTATCAACAACGGAGGTCATTTACCACGAGAAGTGTGTCACTGCAGCCAGTTTCAGCACAATATCCGAATATTGGCGCTTGAAATAAACAAGAAGGAAAGCCAAATTGGTTGTGAGAACGAGATTTTAACCGGTTATTTCCTACAGAAGATCAAAAAGTGACCGCTGTAAAACTAGCTCTTTGTTCGTTAATGTCCTTTGCTCCTGTCTCATAGCCCTTAATAGGATTTTCTTTAACATGCAACGTATTGAGTTACCCTTTCTTTGATAAAGGAGACCATCCCAGGAGCGAAGAATTTATAGCAAATATCTGAGCTTGTTAGTAACTGATCCTGTACACCAATGAGTTTTCCAGCATCCTAGTAATTAGTATAAGTACCATAGTTTCGATAACATTAAAAAATTTTAAGGATATTTTGCTGATTGTTATTAATGAAATTTATTTTATGTATTTTTATTAATTCAAATTTATAACAGAATATCCCGTTGCAGATAAAGTGATCCGTTTGTTACAAGATATTGATTATAAACATCCTTACTGGTACAAATATGTTCTAGCGGTTGGGTAGATACAACTGAATATTTTATGGAAATTATGTTAGAAATTTTTCAACGATGAGCCATGGAAATCCACGAGATAAAAAGTGACAAATTTGTTCCAATGCTCAAGTCACCATCAAGGTATAACGGCATGTGAAGGGATGGAAGTACAACTCCACGCAAAATATAATTTAAGTACTAAATGGAAGTAAGTGGCCAGCTTCGTTCCCCTTAATCCCTGGGGAAAAGGTTGTGGTACCCATTATGTATGGGGCTCTAGGGCTCAGATCCCTTGTGCAGGCTATGGAAAGGAAAAACAAATTCTTTTGCCATGGATCGAACTTCGATTCTCCAGCCTCTAGCCCGTAGATTAGTCACTATGCTGACCGAGCTATTCCGACTCTATTTTTAGGTGTTTATTATTTATCCTGTAACTAAGAAATTATGTGATGTTAAGAACTCGGGAAATCTTCCTCTTAGTGAGTGGACTTGCTTAAACATACACTCGCTTTGTTGCAGGATTTCGGCATGAAGCTGTAGGGGTACAGATCGCGGAGAACAATGCAATCCATAGCGTTTAACGCTCCAGAAGCTCAATGGAACTGCACTAGCAGAATAAATTCAATTAGCTTTCTAACTCATTATGGGCAAAGTCTTGTTTTAACTTCTCTAATTGGCCACTCAGGAGATAATTATTAGGTCGCTGCGAAGCACTAATAAGATTAGGGAACAGGGCTGCGAATATGCCGCCGCTAATTGTTGGCAGAAACAGCGGATCAATGATCTGGTATGTTTGCATAAATTATAATATTTCAAGAATTTAAACGTTTGAGGACTGTTGCAAGGACTTCTGGTCCAAGTATTTTGTATGGTTAGGTGATCAGAAAAAAATAAACTTTAATGTCTGCTAAAATAATAAGGTATAATTTATGAGAACATTTCTATACATTGAACTTCCATCTGTGTAAATTCCCTAAGTGAATCTTTGTTAAGAATAAACTCTGTCAACACATTTTGTAAGAGCTACTTTTGCAGACTTTTTAAAAGTCAATAATCCTGGATTTCAATTTTGGGGCTATAGAAATAATGATACGAAATGACAAGTTGAAGAAGAGAGAAGCCCCGGACGTGTGAACGTAAGTGAGATCTGACCGAACGGCGGTCGGTATGAACGAAGCTGTTCTCTTGGATGCGACGTCGGATCTGGTAGAACTTCAA